CATGTATGGAGCTCCGCCTCTAATAATATTTGGAGAATGTTATCTGCGTCATCCTGTATTATTCAAATTTTTACATTTCACCTCATTCCAGTATTCAGGTTAGAAATAATCAATGGTGACTACGGTAATGTGCTGACCTACCTGAAGTATCTTATCGGTTTGAATGTTAATTAGAGAAAGACAATATGCGGGCGATAATACTCTTCAACAAAAATAAACTCATTCATTTAGTAATACTTCTCTCGAAAGTATTATTGTGTCAAAGCATATTTGAACCGTTTGATGAAAAACTGAAAAGAAAAAATTTTAGAATGACACTAGAATTTTTAAAACGTCTTATCAATCGGAGCCTTCCGTACCTTGCTTGCTGTTGATAATATCTACCTTACCGTAATATCTACCGAAGACGGCCAACAAACCCTATTTCATCATTCATTCTTCAATTTTTTTTCAACTTATACTATCAAATTTGCCGGTTGAAGCTTTCTTATGAGTGAAATGACAAGGAAACTTCAATCTTGTCAAAGGTTTCGAGAGAAAATCCCCCAGTTATTGTTTTGATGATATTCCGTTAGAATGTTTCCATTTTCAAAAGCTTCCTTACTAAAATTATAGTGCTTTAGATGTGTGATGGAATTGGCCGACACTTGATGAAAATCCTTAAAGTATTCAAGTAATACTTTATATTGTGACCAGTTTCACCAGTATTAATATGACTGAGGTAGAAACTGCAGTGAGGACAACTAGAGTACAAAATCAACAACAACTTTTTTTTTTATATGACCCGAAGCCACCATTTGTTGAATATACTTTACGTCTGCGTTTTCAAAATTTTCATTGAACTGTTAAAATATGCTTTGACGCAATACTACAATAAATTACATTTAATGAACCTAAGAATACTTGATAGAAACATAATAATAACAATAACACGCGTCTTGTATCCAATGTGGGTTGGATAACAGGGCAGCCAACAGCCCTTTCACGCCTGCAGTACGGCGAATAGCCGCCAAACTACAACGTATCTATCATACTTTAAGTCAAGGCGTGCTGCTAACCACCAATCAGCACTGCCTTGATAGGATACAAATGCTAGTGGCTGCTAAGAAGTCACTAGTGAGGCGAGCGAGATGTATCGAGAAAAAACCACGTGTTGTGGATAATCCGCTGACCGCTGATTAGGTGAATCCTTCCTGATATCCTTCCTTCTGGAAGGATACCGTGAACACTCGCAGCCACTCAACTTAGACATTCCAGCCCTAGCGCAGTTCGAAGCTTTCAAAGCTTCGACAGCCTGAGCGAGCTCAATGAACTGCACAACCCGATAACTCCGGATGACGTTCGAAGAGCCCTTTTGGGTTCCAAGAACTTTACTGCTCCAGCCCAGATGGGCTGAACACTCATTGGTGGTAAAAACTAACAAGCACCCACCGCCATCTGGCCAGAGTTTTCAACTCATGGCTGGACGGAGAGCAGCCAATTACGGATTTTTTTGTCGAAGGGCGGACCGTTCTCATCTCCATAAGCAAGATTTGTCGATTCCTAAGAATTACAGACCGATAACATGCTTGAATTCGTGTTATAAGTTGTTTACAAGCATCTTATACACACGAATACTCACCGCTGTTGACCGAGTGTTCGAACGGATATATGAACAGAGAGGGTTGAAGAGAGGAGTAGCTGGATGTAAAGAGAACCTGCTCATTGATAGATGTGTAATGCAGGACTCGATACAATACAAGCGTAACATCTCTATGGCCTGGATCGATTACCGTAAGGCATTTGATACGATATCGCAAGAGCTCATCTTGCATTTGCTCAGATGCCTTGCGGTACCCGACAAAATAGTGGGATACATTGAACAACTGATACCACTCTGGCGAACATCCAGTCAAGCCAGAGTCCAAACAGGGTGGTCACTTTCAGAAGGGGTGTATTTCAGGGCCATTTCCACAGTTCCCTTCTCTTCTGCATCTCACGACTGCCATTATCCGTTGTTCTCAGAAATACTCGAGGGTATAACTGTGGCACCCCCGGAAACCGGAGGCACCCATTTGTTTTATATGGGTGATCTCAAACTTGATGCCTCTGGAGAAAAGTATCTCCATTAGTCCTTGAGGGTGGTGCATGCTATCGGTATGAAATTCGGGATAGACAAATGTGCAATGATTTGTCTCAAAAGAGGACGATGCGGGGACTACGGAGAAGATGTGCAGCTCGTAGATGGAAGCATCCTACACCATATGGATGCCGGAGAGACGTTTATTTACCTCGAGGTGGAACAACGCCACTCACAAGAGGTAACAGCGGCAAGTATCAGGACAAACAGATCTGGTCATCGGAACTGTCGGGGAAAAACAAAGTTGCTGCAACAAATATGCTTGCCGTTTCAATCTTACTCTACTCGTTTGGAGAAGCTCTATCAACTCGGCTTAATGATCCGAAAAATGATGCATCTCTATACGAGTTTGCATCCCAAATCGTCCGTTCCACGGTTGTACTTTCCCTGACAACAGGGAGGCCGTGTACTCAGTAACTGGCGATGAAACAAGACTAAGCAAAATATAATTGGTCATGAATCACTCAAAAAGGAAAAAAGAGGAAGATAAAAGAAGATAGAAAAGCGGAATGGTGAAAAGTTAATCATGTTATGATTTTTAAGTTCAGGAATAGCATTGAATACTTCAGCTATCTATCTAGTAACTGAAAGAGCGTTTGAATTACTGGGTTGTGAAAATGGGAGGTGTTAAAGAGCCTTTGAACCTGATGTGGATATTATGACCATGGGTTCGAAACACTTTCCTATGCAGGTACGAAATTAAACAGGCAGCATGTAGTTTTCTCCATATTCAGCCATCCAACTTCCTTGAGCTTGTGAGATATTCTGTTTGTTCTTATTCGATATATAGGTCTCAAACACGAATTCTATTAATACCTATTTCTATTAATACCAGATTGAGGGAGACATAGGCTCGTTGAATGAGTTTGTTGGTGTGCTTTTCAAACCACAAATGAGAATCAAATAATACGCAAAGGTTTCTGGCTTCATCAACAACATGAAGTGTATCTGCATTGATGATTTCACTCCTACTGATTTTTGACCTGAAAATGATAACTTTTGATTTTTCTGTGTTAATAAAAAGCGAGTGTGGAGTTGATAGTTCAATAAGTGTCTAATATCAGAGTCTATGATTCCGCAAGCTTCTTTGACATCTTCTGGATGAAAACTATGATAAAATTGAGTGTCGTCCGCATAAAGATGTACATTACAGGTTTCAAGTTTCCTTAGCAAGGTTAGCGAGTAAATAGTAAAGAGCAATGGACCCAAAACTGATATGAACGCTATGAAGATGAAGAATAAAATGGACGAGTTCGAACTGTTGGTATCTGAAACGTTATAATAATAACCAAAACCTGCGATTGGGACCCCAATATTCTTTTAATGTACAAATTTATTTGTGAATGGTTGATAAATTTCAATAGACTGAAAATAAAGGTTGTAAAGGCATGACCTTCTCATTTTTTACTGATCATTCTGACTTGTTTTCAAATTCAGACGAACCGAAGGTGCGACAAAAATGAAATTTACTTTGATCCTTCGAACCGGATAGTGAATTATTCAGTTCTGTGAACTGTAATTAAACCAAGATAAAAAAATCAAATGAAGACCAAAATTATGATAAGAAATAGCAAAACGAGCCAGAAAATAACGAATAAAAAATGAACAGTCAAAAATGGGAAAGTCACGCCGTTAAAATAGACGTTTGGAAAGCATTTGATACAGGCAAATCAGTTCCCTATTATATAGGTATTTTGTAGACAATTAAGATGTATGACCCTCTAATAGGTTTATTTTCCACTTATATACTCTAAATTCAATTACTCGTTTCCTATTTGGGAAATTTTTTAAATCTTGATTTTGTGTTCACAATTACCAAAAAATTATATTCATATTCATCAAGTGTATGGGTACGACAAACCACACACTGAAAAATTACTTAAAATCAACATTAATTTTAAATGAGGGGGCTTCAAGTTTTCAATCGATCTTAGTAAAAAGGTACTAACAATCGAAAAGTCGTTAAGTGACTTGGAATGAAATATTTTTCAATTCTTTGACATTTTTGCAGAATATTTTGATTAATTTATTATATTTTCATTTCATTCTTATTTGTATATAATCACATTTCCTCTCATTGTTATCCCATTTTTTGATTCATTTCGATTTCGTATCACAATAATTCGTTTTTTTACAAACTAGCGTCATTACAATTTTTTTGAATTTTAAAGACTCATTTTTATTTTTTCATTTTCCCCCTCTTTCATTTCTATTTAAACCAACTCATCCAAATATTACCGTCCGGTTATTTTTAGTATTTTCAGTAATTTGTAACATTTTATTTATTTCCGTTTCCTTCTCTATCTATATTTATTTCAAATACTTCTTATTTGGCTTCCCTATTCTTCATAAGACTTCGAGATATCAGTTTATGCATTTCTCAATTAATAATGTCGTTTTCAACTTTCCCCATATAGTTTTCTGAAGATCTTACTCCAATATTGTTTTTCTGTTCATTTAGAATATTAGATTATCCCCCGACACCTTTCGCATTCTACGCTCCCGTAATAGACAACAGTGATTCCTAATCTGGTCTTGGTATGTACCAAAATCCACTATTTTTGACAACTGACATTATTTCCTACCATCGATGGGTGCTATATCAAACTCATATACCTACTAAAACTATTTTAGGGGAGTTAACAATTCAAACAATCGATGCAAGAAACCAATAACCATTGTTATCAATAATTCAAGTAACCGTCACAAAACACCGAACACCGAACCTAGAGCTTCGGAATTCGAAAGTTTGATTGCCACTGCATGTCCGCTGCTGACCACGGAACATGCGCAACTTCAGTCACCTTGTCACTGACGTCACAAAAAAGAGTTAACCAGTTACGACAAACGTACCGCTGACTCTATGCAAGAGTTCTACAGCGAAGTCGGTAAAGTGAGTCTTAGCTTGTTTAATGTGGATACGATCAGTCTCCCAGCCATCTTGTAGAAATCTAAAAGTATGCTTTTTTGAGGTGTGTGTTGATTTTAAACGATTTTAAAGTGGCAAGGATTATTTTATGGGTGAGTTTTAGTATTTGTAAACAGTAGTGCTTCATCGTACTAGTGACCTAAGTTTAAAAAGTAGTGTTAAGCTTAAATATTTCAGTCGGAAAGTGTGCCCCTGTCATAGCTTTCACTTGGTCCGTAAATACAGGAAAATAAGTTTAATTCTTAAAATTAGCCTCAGTGGACCTCGATACTTTGTGTTTATATACGGTGGATTCGTCGGATATTTTTTGTGTTAAATTCGAGTAAAATAACCGTCAATCCGTAGAATATTCAGAGGTCAATATTGCTTGAAGAAACTGTTAGCCTTATTAGGCAAACCTTTGACTTATCTATTGAATTATTTGTTTGCAATTCTACTGTAGTGATTGATTGTTACAAAATACGTAATCCGTATAATTGTCTCAAAGTGCTAAAAGTAGCTTTCGAGTTCGGTAATCAATTTGAAAAAAATCGAAGGTGTTCTATCTTCTGAAGACTTGTTCTCCAGTTGTAAAGTGTAGGTATCTCGCTAAGTGAGTCATCGTTGATATAAGAGTTTACTGAGAGGTCAATACATTCTTGTTTCGGATGCCTATTTTGATTATTTCAAATCAAATCGTAAATATGAAATATACCTTTTGTCCTTGACGGACAATGGTTGGAGGATCATCGACCTTTTTTGCAAAAGAAAGTGAACATGCCTATAAAAACTTTTATGAAAATGGCTTACTTATATTCTCAACTATTGATACCTCCATTGCTACTTTCTATCATCTCATTAGTTTCCCAAATCAGTATCATTATTTTCAATACATGATAGTAATCTCAGTGCAAGGAAGTATGAGGTGTTTTCTTGGTAGTTTCATGCTTGTGAAACCATATTTCAACATTCTTGTTAACAAAATAAACAGATTATACCTATATCTATCTACCTTGTTAGGCGAAATTAAGTATCATTAATCAATCCAATTGTTCAAAGAATGATTTTGTGTAAAGAAAGAAACCTCAAGATCCATTCAATAGAAGGAGACAAAATTATATTAGTATTGTTTTTTCAATTGAGAAAATCTCTGTGTTGATTACATATTGAAAATACTCTGGAAGATAGATTGACATTATTATCAATAACGAAAAAAATAATATTGTTGAAAAAATCGAGTTGTCCAACAATAAGTAGTTATATTTTGTTTTTGAATACACCAACATTATCCTAATGGGGATTTAATTTATTGAGTGAAATTTTGGAATAAAAAAATTGTCAACAGTTTTTTACTTTTACTGTGTACTTTTTTGGAGTAGGCATTGGTATTTTCGACAACCTGAAAAAAATAAGAAGTTGATTTATTTGTACAAGGGCTACTTTTTATTTTGTTCGGATGATAACCGAAATTTTTTTCGAAACTATGCTAAAATAATTTATTTTAAAAATTATCAATAACTGTAATAAAAATACTAGACGACTGGGGGGTATCATAAAACAAGCAACATAACGGCTTCAGACTTCCTCAAGAAACGTTAGTAGTGATTGTGTAAAGTGCTATCCCGCCTCCTCACTGACGAATCAATTGCTAAAAATTCCAGTATCAGTAACTCCCCTTGTATTTTAGGTGTAATTATATAATTTTGGAGATGAAGAAAATGCATCTAGTAATACAAGTGGGTGATTTAACCCTCAATTTTGAGAAAACCAGTGATAAATATGTGGCATATTAGTAATCGTAGGAAATTTTAAAATGTATAAAAAATTTTACCCTTTATTTTTCTGATATATTTAAAACGTATAAAAAATTTGACCCTCAATTTTTCTGATATATCTAAAACGTATTTTATTTAATGGTTTTGTTCTAATTAAGTAATATTACCTTTCACCTTTCAAGTATTCTGAACGATTTACACTTTATTGTGAAATTTACACTAGACAGTTTACGAAATCACATGTTTCGCTGTACGATAGCTTCTTATTTTGTAAATCCGATTTTGGAAAACTCACAATAAACTGTTACTTGAATAAGTCATGGATTTTCATCATGTATTGGCCAATCCCATCACAAATATTTGATTTTAATAATTCTCAACTCGGTTTTTGACGATCCTAGTTATACCTAATCACTGAGATAAAAGTTTTCTTTAGAGTAGCAGAGGAGCAACACAGGATGTACCTAATTTGCAGAGAAAATGCGAAATTCAATTTCATTGTACACTGCCTTAATAATTCCCCTTGATTTTTTCAGTCACCATTTCCATTGTCTTTGCAACATAATACCTATTTGTTTACATAATATCTAATTAATAACGAGGTTTTCCCCTTTCTCCACAACCAAATGTAAAACCATAATTTATCACCGACCCTGAATATCAGTCCAGGAAATTAATTATGATGGGAAATCGATACCAGAGTTCTTCATCTATCAGATGTCTTTATTTATAAACATTATACAGCGTGACTCACTGTCGATGGTAGATTAGACGTTTATGGTAAAATCAACCCAGGAGTTTTCTGAAAATTTGACATCTTACATTTCCTTGCCTGTTTTATCGATCTGAAACATTTTCAGCATTGCGGCGTTGCCAATTCTATCAAACAGTCCTAGCAACTTTATTTTTTTAAATAGAACACCCTGTATATTGTTACGTTCATTTTGAACTTCAGGTAAATTAGTAATAAAACACTACCTTACTATAATTTTTACATTCATTTACTAATTCCACATAGATTATTAGAAAGAGTATCTAAAGAACACATTTTATTAGGACACCTTGTATCTTGAGAATGAGTCTGGTATTTTGGTACTGCCTAAAGGAAAACCCAAATATTTGCATCATATTCGTTAAATCTGTAAAAGATGTTTGTACCTTCTTATCATTCCTCAACTGTAGATAGTTTCAACCATGTCAAGGATGCGATAATTTGTTCTAGCCTTTCAGAGAGTTTGTCAACTTCAGAATATCACATTCAACAACTCTCTAATATGTTCCTCTGGTCATGTCGTGATGTAGATACTTGTAACAATACTCCGTATATTGACACCTCTTCCTTTGGTAAACGTTAAAAACGGCTCTTGGTGAGTATTTCTTGGACACCTGATGAAATAATTACCACCGGATCGAGTGAAAGCTGAAAGAGAATGCGAATTATTAAAAATATACTCAAACAGTCGTTTGAATTATTTCCAAAAGTATAAGTATGCATGCTTACCTTTTCATTCGTCAGTGGCTATAGTTTACTTCTTCATCTCGTCAACGAATCGATTCATTATTAATTGGAAGATCTAACAAATTCATTCAAATTCATTTTATTGATTTGTGTACATTTTGTCTGAATAGTAAGTTAGAAACCTTCAATCGGTATTTAGTTCGTCTATGTTGCCAACTATTTAAGCCGAAATTCTCTAGAATCGGGTTCGGTTAGGGAACACTTTGCTCAAGAGTTGTTTCGGGAAATAAATATATATTTTAAGTATTGTATATTTTGAATGGGTTGTACATAATATTTGTCATATAATATTGTCGCAAAAATGCACTCTAGATGACTTCCTCTCGAATATGACATATCATCTTGAAGCATTTTTTATCATCTTTCAATTCATACAGGGGGTTTTATTTTAAAAAATGAGCCTTTGACCACTTTTAAACTTTCAAGTTTGTGTCCAAACTATAATCAAAATATCAACTTTTTATGAAGTGAGAGTACTGATGTAAGTAATTTTCTGAACCATATTTAGCACAAATTATTTTTTAACTCGAAAACCGATAGAGATAGGTATAGGACATTAATAACAAAAAAGTATTATAATAAAAGAGCGATTCCAAAAATATACGAGGTGCTCTTCCTGAAAAAATTAAGTTGCTAGGACTTTTTGATAGAAGTGGCAATGCCGCAATGCTGAAAATGTTTTAGATCGATAGATCAGGTAAGGAAATGTAAGATGTGAAACTAACGTCTTACCTACCATCGATCGTGGGACACGCTGTATATGTTCTGCTTCTGGTGTTTACTAGTATTCATAAGCTGATATTTATCAAAAGTAGGTAAAACAGTTGAGCTCTCGGTTGACGTACATGGTACCATGTGTTTCGTAATTTTTTTATCTTATATCCTTATCTGATTGCACTATGTTTTGAAAACAAATTTCGAAAAGTATGTGCACGTCGACTTGAATATTAAGAACGATGACTCAACAAAGATAATGAATACTATTCAAATCCATTGTTTTCTATATAATAGTCAATATATATATAGTAGGTACTTTTTTCGTTATATTTGACAAATATGTTCATTTGTAAATAAAAGTTGACTCGATTTGTTCAAGTTTACTTCTTCATGTAAATTGAAATTGAAATCTGCAAATTTGAGCATGAGCGTTGCTTGATGTTCAAACAGTTTTGCAATTTGTCAGAAAATAGCAAAAGCGTATTTTTCATTCGCTGAATACAACTGAAAAATTAAACAAATTGTATTATGAATATGTGTAGTTTTGAATGAATGTTTGCTCTACATTTTTTCAAAATTGTGGTTTCATTTTTGAAATAATTATAAATAGAGTGTATATCCCAGGATTGATGTTACAACTCGTCTTATTTAAAGTGCGATGGACTGAAAATTTTTGAATTTTGTTTTGAAATTGTGGAATTGAGACCTGCTTCGTAAGAAAAGAAATTCAAGGAAGAGTTCCGTTTTTGAAAAATGTGTTGGCCTTGACGATGAAGCTAAAGTAATTTTCTTTACAGGCGATATATTCTTTTTGCTCATGATACGAATATTACTGAAAGTTGTCCAGAATGATTTTTTTTAAGGTTGCATATAATAAATTGTATTTACTCACCAATTCAAAGCAGACAACGTTTTGAATAATTACTTTGTTCTTAGTTCAATGATATTATTACGTTTCCTGAATTGCATTTGTGAGTAGACTCAGTTGATTATGTTTATTGTAGAAAAAAATACCATTCAAAGTACTTAAATATTCCTGAAACTTTGAATTCCTTATCCTGGGATATGTCATGAAAAAACACAAAACATTGCAAGAAAATGG